TGAGAGCAGTCCTTCTGAACTTTACCTTCCTCAAACATTTAAGATATCTTCTGTTACACCATTTTAGTTTTCTCTAATTTATATATTTAACTATATATCTTTACCCACTGGATTTTTTCCTTTCTCTTAAGCTTGAGTAAGGTCATGGAGCAAGAAGACAGTAACCACTTAATACTTTTCTCTTATCCCCACACAAAGATGTAGAGAACGTAGTGGTGGCCTGCCAGATGGGATAATTTCTGAGAACAAACACTGGAGTTAGGGAGCAGAAAGTCCCTGGGAAGTGCTCACTCTCTTCAGAAATTGCAAAAAGATAACCAAGATTTCAGAGCCTTGCTTTCTGTCAGGTGGTGTGACTTCTCAGGCATCCCAGTAGAGTTATTTGACTAAAGTAGATCTGTAATTTTCTAAGTAGAATGTGAAAATATTCTCTTTTTTTTCCTGATGCATGTATTACATTGAGTATGATCAAAGAGGCATACTGATCTTTGATGGCTCATTGATCTTTGATTATTCAACATGCAGTTCTCTTCCATGGTCTGTTGTTCCAATACTGTGAGCAGACACCCCTTTCTAAGCCTCCCCTAACAAATTCTGAGTCTCTCAAATCTTCCTGGTCCTGTTGGTAATTTAGTTTGGTTTGTCGTGCTTACTGCCCTGATTTGGCTTTCATTCCGTAGTTTATGTCTGGGCAATTCCCTTTAATGTTCACTATCTCGATAGTCTTTTGAGTCACAGTGTTGAACTGTGCCAATACTATACAAAATCTAGTCAAAACTGAAGTATGTGATGGTGAAGTATTCTGGAGGTACTCCAGTAACACTGATGTCAGTGGCACAAAAGTGAATCCATTCAAAATATCAAGTGTATACAATCATTGGTATTCTTCAGGGGTTTGTTGTAGGTTTATTTTGGTGGGGTTTTTTCCCTTTTCTTTTTGTGCTGGAAATGTCTTCATTTTTTAGTTTGGTCTTCTGTCATGGTGCTTCATAGGACCCAATGAAACACTAAAAGGAGTTAACTGCCTAAATGCTTTCAATTTGTCTGAAAAAAAAAGCTTTGTCTAGATGAATTACTCTCTTGTTGAGTTTCAGCGTAATGTAATCTCAATCCCTAGAGGCATTCAGTTCTGGAAAGGGTCCTTTATAGTAATAGCTGTGACAAACTAAAAAATAATTTTCCAGTTTACAGTATTTTTTCTACCTAATTACTATGACAAAAACGAAAAGGGAACAACTAATGAAAGTGGACATAAAGATCCACTAGGTACCTTCAAAGTGGTGTATGGTAGTTATGCCCCCTGAATTCAATTATCTGTAAAGAGTATTCAGGCATAGATTGTGCCTCCTGTGCTTGTCTCTGATAATTTAGCCACAACCTGATGCAACAATAATGATTTGATTTTATTTTTTGGCTCCTTGGTCCCTCTAAAGTGTTTGCTGTTCCCATAGGAGCCCTTTCTCTTTACAAACTGAACAGTTATTTGATCGTTGACACTGCCACTGATTTGTGGAGTAACAGGATGATTAAGTACATTGGCAGCGTGCCTCATTTACCTACTGATAGGCAACAACCCCTTTGTCTCTTTTCTTTTTTATGATTTTTCATCTCCGTTCTTTTATAATTCACTGAGCTCATATTAGCAATTGACCTGCAATGTGGAAATGCAGGCGTGTTTCACGATGGCTTTAGGCAAACAAAAGGATCATCAGTATACGCAAGAGCAAATCAATTTTTCCATTCTCTGTGAGAATAAAATAGCCATTTTGAGGCATCTCAATTTGAGCGTTCCTGAAATCCGCAGAGCGCAGCGTAATTGCTTGCAGAAACTTGTCCTAATTGGCAGCTTAAGGAAAAAGACACAGACAGTTCTTACCAGTTTCCACATGGAAAGTTCTCTGGAGACTGTTGAAACAATTAATAGACATTTCTGTCTTTCTGCCTAAGGTGCATGGCTTGAAAACGCAGATGAAATGATAGCAAATCACACACTGAGGATTCTGTGAACTTTTCCCAAAGCGGATGGCGTTCTCTGGCGAGAGAAGGCTGCAGGGGGGAGGAACACACAGGGGAGAGGAGAGGTTTCATACATACTTTTCTCTCCTTCTGCCATTGTTTTATGTATGTGTGTGCATATGTGCATCTGTAAAACATTATATCTGGATTTTTCCCCTATGAAAACTTTGGAGTGGTATTTCTTACTATTGTGATCAAATTAATTGGTTCATTACAGATGCTGAAGGCTTGCGTGTCATTTATTCAGTAAGAAGGTTTATATTTTCTCTTTTTTTCATACTGAGTTATTTCACTGTTTCTCCTACAATGTCTTCTGCTCTCCCTGGGGTTAAAAAAATCCCTTTCTTAATTTATTTCTTTTAGACTTTTATTTTGGAATGGATGATGAAAATACTGCCATCCAGGAAATCTGTTCTAAACCTGGGTTTCATAAAACAAATGCTTGTGTTTTCCCATGACTAAAAAAAATGCAAAGGAAAACTGTTTACTGAGGTGTTAGTATGGAGGGTTTTATAATATAGTGAATAATCTATAAGATAATGGGGGGGGTGGTGGTGTTTAAAAACAAACACCCACCATGATTCCCCATGAAATCCATGTTGGAGGCACTAGATCTGTGATGTACTTTGGCAATGAACGACAGGATCTTTCAATATACTGTCCACTAGCTTGAGCTCTCACCTCAACCAGACAGGCTCACTGCTCTCTCAAAAGAGTCTCACTGCTACCATGAACTCTCACGCCAGCAGTCACCTTGTAATCGCAGCAGACACAGCGGAGGCCTCCCCTGGGAGAGGTGTAGGAAATCCAGCGATGGGAGTTTTGAAGTGCAAAGAGCTATTGCTTCGGGTACTCCCCGCTGCCGGTGAAAGTGTGTTTAACTGGCAGATGAATACATGGGTTTTAAAACAGGAAGCTTAGAAAGATTAATTTGGTGTTTTCATAGCATCCTTCATATTTAACATCCCATTAAAAATCAAGATATAGGAAAGAAATTATTTTTCAGCAGATGCTTTCAGTTAAACTCACTGATCCTTAAGATGCGGTTTAGGTTTTTGTCTGACGTTCATCCTATACGCTGGCTCTAGAAAAGAGGAGAGAGCATAGAATAAGATAAATCAAGAATCCTGCTGCCACATCTTCTCTCACCTAAGACCTATTTGCTTTGCTGCAGAAAATGATGGCACATGTGCGTTATAGACATATTACATTACTGTGCTCAGTGATGCTGAGAACCCCATGTCCCGGCTACCTGACTTGAAAGCTTATCATAACCATTATCGCTTTCATCTGCAGCAAAGTCCAGCCAGCTAGCTTTTGTTAGGCATGGTTCCTCCAGAGGAGAAACAATACAATCATATTCTTTAAATGCTGGTTTCTTTTCCTTTTTCCGAACTTCCCCTGAATGACTTCACTTGGAATGAATTTGCACTCCAGATATTGCAGCATTGCAACCCTTGTATGTCTCTGTATCTATGGTTGTTACCATAAAATATATTCTGGATTTTGCTGGTCAAGGCACCTGTCTAGCATAAACAGATGCTAGCTTTTCAAGTGAGCACTTCAGCTGTGGTAAGTAGAGGCCCAATGTAGAGGTTAAGCATGGTCTGCTGACAGTGAGTGTGTTTGCCGTTTCCTAATGCTTTATTTCACAGAATTTCTTTTTCTGTTTCTGGAGAAATGCTATTGTGATGTAACTGTTCTTTAAGGTGTGATCTAACTGTTCTTTAAGGAAGGTTTGTTAAAAGAGAAGGGTCATCATAATCCAAAAATCCTAGGGCTTATCATCCTGGTTTCTGAAATATTTGAAATATTTCAAAGGCTAAGGGCTTCCAGAACTTTGTCTTCCCCTTCCAGGTATGACGGCAGGATAAGCATCCATGCCATAGCACTGAAAGGAGGGAGAAGCTCTGCTTCAATAAATTCCTTTAAACTATCAGTACGAGGAGCATGAATGTGAACTTTATGAACATTGCAGGGAAGAGTTCAGGATGTGGGAAGGAATATAGGCCTAGTAGGTGGCTTGTTTTGAAACAGACTGTGCCGAGAAGCCTTGCACACCCTGCAGGTGTCCAGACATCTCAAATTTGACAATACCCATAGATTTTAAAGCCACAGGGTCACAGTTTTGGTCTTGTTTACATTTATTCCAATTTCTGGAGCTAACAGTGGAATGAAAAAGAGGAAGTATAGTTAATCTTTCATCCCTTCAGATGCAAACTCTGTTCGTCATTTCTACTGTCAAACAAAAAGGACGTTCACATGAGAACATGCTGCTTCACTATGAGATAAAGACAAGGGCATGCCAGTGGTGTCATGACCAGCTGCCAAGTGGGAGATGCCTGCAGGCTTCTCCCATACGGTCAGCCACCGGGTTTATCCTGCAGCCCCGTGGTACATGCAGCTCGGCACAGCACAGGCCTGCGCCTGCCTCAGGTCAACTCTTATGTGAATCTCTAACTCCTCGATGTCTTCCAGTTAGGACCACTGTAGGTGCCAAAACCAGATGTATAGTTGTCCTCCTTTTCCCCTCTGAACAAGCTGACGATCACAAGAGCAATTATAACAGCATTTTCATGTTTTTAGACTGAATAGTTCTTATGGTAATAACAAAGAAATACTCAGACCTCTTGAACATGTTTTGTAATACATATTTTATAATATAAATGTTGTTGTTTTAGCAGTGAACAAGCATCATTAGATGTTGCATAGAAAATGCTGATGCAAAGCAAGTTGTCTGCAGGCTTGGGCTGTGTGCTAAAGTCAATTCATCACTGAATTTCTCTGCCACCATAAAAAATTAGTGCAAATTTCCAAATCAAGGGCTTGCCTGGCACCATGAATGCAATTATTCCCTCCCTTTTGAGTTTGCATCGACGTGCTTCTGTTACCCCTTACCCTGTGCCTGTTATAACCTGAGATGCCTTGCTTTCTGTAGTGGATTTCTGACTTTCTTCTTCATGCTCATCCATGTGTCTTTACAGTGGTCAGTGTATATCCGCGCTGCTGTCCGCAAAGAAAAAGGATTGCCAATCCTGGTGGAACTGCTTCGAATAGACAATGACCGGGTGGTATGTGCAGTTGCTACAGCTTTACGAAACATGGCCTTAGATGTCAGAAATAAGGAGTTAATAGGTATGTTCTTTCCAAACAATCTATATATTCTGTGGGATTGTTGGGGGTTTTTTTCCAGTTTGCAGCAGAATGAGTACAATGAAAACAATTACTCTCACATTTCTAGCACAATTTCTTTAATTCTTTCTCTAACATGTCATATTCACATTTTATGTGACAGGTTAGTGTTATATTGCAAGGAATTGTTAAATTAATTAAACATCATGCAGTGTTTCATGATCTGTCATACTGTGATCTCCAGAAGAAAAGCAATGGCTTTGTTCTGCTTTAGCACTTCATTCCTAGGCTGGCAGTAGCACTTGCATCTTCCAGATCGAGGATCTAAGCAGAGCAGCCACTCCTGATCCTCAGATTATCTATTGCAAGTAATTCTGGGGTCATGAAGTGACGAATCTCAAAGATTTTAAGGTAGTTCCAGGAATTTACTGCGCAGATGAGTAGCTCCAGCAAAAGAACGGGGAGATGTTTGATTCACAAACACATAAGCAGTTAAGGAAGAGGAGAACAATTTATATAAATCATTGTTGCCCCTGAATTTGGATGGTATGGTAAGCAAACATCTCGGGGTTTGGGGTTTTTTTTATTTTGTTTAGGTTTTTGGTGGGGTTTTTTAGCTGAAACTCATCCAAACACTGTGTATCGTTGAACTTTATTTTCATGTTCTGTCTTTGAAAAATAATAATTTCTTTGTTTCTGAACTATTTCGACAGTCATGACAAAATTATTTCTGCTTCTTCTGTACATTAAGAGCACATTTTTTACTCATTTTTGCGAACTTGTTAATTTGTTATCATTACAGCATACTTCTCCTCCTCTGCTTTTAATTACAGAATTCCACAAATAGATGCTTTGATCATAATGTTTCATTATTTGTATCCAGTGCTATCTCAGGGTTAGTGCTTCATTACAGCAGTGCTCAGCAAGTTGTTAAAACAAGGCAATCACTCCCCTCATGTACTGTACGAACTAGAGAGACTTCACTGACAAAACGTTGTAAAGCAAATAGACGTAGAGGTTGGTGAATAGTGTAAACCTGCTGTGATTGCCCAGGCACTGACCTCAAGACTGATGCTTTACCTGCAAGACCAGCCTGCTTGTTCAGCTTTTGCTGGTGTTACAGTTGATAAAATTGGCAGGAAATTAGATTTGTTCGAGGTATTGAGTTCAACTTTCAGGAAGCAAGGTGCTGCATATCTGTTCTTAGTGGGTTTTTGTTGTTTTCTGGGAATTTTGAAGTAGAAATTACTGCTGAAGCAAGTGTATGAGGCTATCTAATCTGGATTAACAAAAGACCTTTTTTTTCTTTCATGATGCACCTCCACATTCAGTCTACACTATGCCATAGTCTCCATTATTTAACATCTTATTCCTTTATTTGTGGGACTTCCTCTACAGGGTTCACAAACCACATTCATGCTGAGTTTTCTTCTATATTCTCCTATCCCCTACTTACAGGAATCACAAAAAACTCTTTACAGTTGAATTTACTGAGTATAAACATGGTTTGTAATGCTGTGAATTAGACTCTATATGGTTACCTTTTCTGTGCTTGATTATTATTTTTCAATTGAAAGTTTTATTTCCTTCACAAATATGCAAATTTCATTTAGGAAAGTGAGGCTAAACATATGAAAATGGAGCTGTCTTAATACAATGTGCTATTCAAAATACTTGGTAAATTAGGGATAATAAGCTTGCACAACCACCACATTTTAATATTTTATGGAATTCTTTGAGAACATGTGATATAAACAAAGATTAATTTGAAAGAGGTAGGAAAAAGTCTGTTGAAAATAATTGCCTAATAAATTTATTTGTGTAGCCAGCCCGTAGTGGCTGTGTAGTGCTTCTCAGATATAAGTTATTTGTGGGGTGATTCTGGGGAATTGTATTTTTAAAAAAGTCTAAACATGCCAATATGCTAGGGAAGTTATGACTATAATTCCTGAACCATTTCAGCTGTGATCTTTATATGTTCTTTCTTCTACTTTCATCATTGAACTTCAAAGAAACAGTAATAATGGTCATTATTTCTCTTGTTCCTGACATTTTTTTAGCAAATGGGGCATATCATAGAGCTGATTTTCAGAAATGCTAAACACCTGGAGTTGTTAAGGATTTCAGCTCGTGTTTTAGGCAGTCCATTTTTGTGAATATTACAGTTCCATGTGTTCCTAGATGCCTTAGCTGTTGTTACGGAAAGCAGGACTCAAAAGGAGCTTCTTGAGGTTGGTTGCTCAGTCATCTTTTCTGCCTAAGCAGAATCAACATCCTGATTATCTTTCCTCTCTGCGGCTTTTGTGCATCATATTCTTGCAGTGACAAACTCTACCTCACAAACTGGAATTCCCCCTTAAGATAACCCTCTCTGAAGGTGAATTTTCCAACTGTATATAATAGTAAAATTATGTAGGTAGAATTGAATTGGGGTTTTTAATGGATCTATAAAGCTTTCTTTTCAGTGATGCTGTGGTTCCATTCCCAGCTGACAATTTTTTACTGAAATGTGCCAAAGAGTGAAATATCTCTCTCTGCTGCTGCCAAGCAGCCCATAAATCAGTGTTGAGGCATCTGGCAAATATATCAGAAAGCTTGCTAAAATCCAGACTCACCAGTACCGAACTACAAAACAAACAAAAAGACAGGTTTTTTTTTTTTTAGATGGCCAGAAGTTTCTTGTTAGACTTCATTGAATTGACCAATCTGTTTTGGTTTTCATACAGATCTATCAAGTGTGTTGTTATATTGCTGAAAGTTCATGCCAGCCTTCTCAAAATTTAGCAGAGCCATCCCCACAGCAGCATTTTCTTCATTTATGTTGAGGTCTTCTTCCTGGGTTTCATTTCAGGCACACTCCATGTCCTTAACAGGACCCTCTTTTCATTCCATCCCCATTGCTTTTGCATTGTGCCTTGTGTCTCTAGGCCGAGACAGTGGGCATATTCATCTTTCTCCTTCCCAAAATTAAACTGCACTCAGACAGTAAACCTGGCCTACTTAGTACTGGCACTAGGTTAATCCAGCACCTGGGTTTTCCTCCTTGGGCATACTGCCCAGGTGCATTGCTGGTCACGGTCAGATCACATTCTTTTTCCTCTTGCCATTCAGGACCCAGGTCTGCATGAAATAGTACCCACTCTATGTTGCTTCCCAAGAGTGCACCCCATGGGGAGGTTCATCAGCCTTTTCTCTCTCCCAGCAGTGCCACAGCTGAGGGAAGTGGTGCTGTGGGCCTTGAAAAGACCCACTGCTGATATTGCTTGTTTTGTTCTTCTTTGGTTTCAGCAGTCTAGGCTGCACAGCACCCGTGGTACCCCAGCATCTTCATGCTTCTTTTCATGTGTTCTGTAAGCATTTTGGAAGGCTTGTTTTCCTTCCTTGAAGCAGGTTCTGTCTCTGCTGAGTTCCTCCATGGGGCCATTAGCCTCTCCCCCCAGCCCTACTAGATCCCTCGAAGTTGGCCAAAAGTCACTTTTTTTGGTTTCGGTCATTCACTTAGATAGAAGAAGGTCACGTTTGTCCCACACGTCCTCCAAGAGCTTTGTTGATGACCTCTGTGCAGTTGTGTCACCCCCATGTTCCTTCCTTCTTCCTTTATCTTTCCCTCTCTCAAAAAAAAGGGGGAGGAGGGGGAAGGAGAATAACAAACCCACCCTTCTGTGTCCCCCAGCGCCATATAGGTGCCTTAATTTGAGGATATGGCATTATTCACCCTCCCCCAGGAGTGTCGCTTTTAACCTGAGGACTACCTGCAGACCTGCTGCTTCTGGCAGTGGCACATCAGGATGCCAGTCAGGCCAGCACCTCGCGCCAGAGCTGCCCCACCATCTGCCCTACAGCTGAGTGTACCTACGGACTTTTATTCTCTAAAGCCACACTTTGTTGGAATGATGTCAAAAAAATGCTAACTTAGAATAAGGTTTTTTTCCTTAAGCAGAGGAAACTTGGATCAGCTGGGTGGGGCTTTCTGGCTTTTAAGCCTTTCTGGCTTAAAAATAAATCTGTCTCCTGTAAACAGCATTTTTGCAGGATGTATTGTTTCCTTGCGGTCTGCTCCAGCAACCTTCAGTGGCTTTCTGATTCAAACACCTTCCACGCAGTCTTCTAGGCTTCTAGGAAACTTTCTGTCGATCATCTGAGCCTGCACTGTAGACCTGTGTCCCACTTTAGATGAACTCTCTTTTCCTCCCTGGAGTCTCCCAGCCAGAACTGGTGTAGCAGCCTCCCTTCTCACTAGTCCTTCTCCCCACTCTGCATGCAAAAAGGCTTTCCGAACCAAGATTCCCCCTTCAGTCTTGGGGAATGAGCCAGCCTCATCTTTCTTTTATCTGAAACACAGCCAGCAGTTTTCCTCTCTGCTGCCATCCATGACCTCTTTAACAAAAGAGAATATGAAATGTACAGTTAATTGAAAACTATGTGACTTGTTATTCTACCTACACAAGCAGGTACAGACTGTCCCTGTCAGTGAAATTTTTAAAGGCTGAATCTGTGTCCCCAAAATTTGCATTTGCATTGTTCTTGTGTATGCACGGCCTCTACCTCTGATTTCAAATGACAGTTATTGTGGCATATTAAAGTGCAGTAGGTGGTCTTTCAGAAGAGTTAAGCTGATTTTTCAAGCTGTCCCAGATGAGAAATTCATCACTATTTGTGTACAGCAGAATATGTAAAGTATAGGATTTGCCCTCTTGAAGTATAATTTGGAACTTGTGTTAGTATTGCATTTCATACTGTTTAGTGATAAGTCCACAGGGTACAGGTTTTGGAGTGAATGCAGAGCTGGAGGTAAAACTTACAAAATTTCAATGCACAGTTTTGCGCTTCAGATCTTTCTATCAGTTTTATCTTATCCTGACTGGTTTCTAATGCTATTCTGGGTCAATGTTGATTGAGAGCAGCTTTGTACTAGTAATTCAAGAGCACCATTCTGTCTCTTGGCCTCTTGGCCTGTATTTTTGTGGTTAAATAAAAGATGTTTTTAGAGACTGGAAGTATTT